TCCAAGTTTGGCAAAGCCTCTTTCCTTGGCTTGATGGCATCTCTCAGGCTAATACTGCCCATTTTGTGGTCAGCCTTTATCAAAGCCGGCTTACCTCAGACTCATTCTCCGTTTACCGTCCGTGAGGACCCCCAGGTCCTCTCCTGCAAAGTTGTTTTCTACTCAATTGACGCCCACCTGTACCAGTGCATGGGGTTATTCTAGCCCAGGAGCAGAACTTTGTATTTGCCTGTGTTGAACTTTGTGATGTTGAAGTGCCATCCTCTTTCTGCAACTTGTCAAGGTCTCTCCCAATAGCCCTGCTCTCCCAGCTCTGTCCCAGGCTCAGGGGCCAGGGAGGCCTGAGGGCACAGCCTGCCAGGAGAAATGGAGGCAAAAACAGCACTCGCCCTTTTCCATAGCTTTTGACTTGAGCAGCAGACCCAGGTCTCCCTTAGTCTTCCTTCTCCTGCTGACTCGCTTGCAGAAGGCTTTCTTGCTGCCTGAAACATGCCTTGCTAGGTTCAGTTCCAGCTGAGTTTTGGCTTTCCTAATTTCCTGCTTTTATGCTTGGGTGCTACCATTCTGTTTCTGCTGGGTAGGGCATCCCTACTCCCACCTCCATACAGTCCTTTTTTGCACTTGAGGCCCGTCAGGAATCCAGTGCTTAATTTTACTGGCCTCCTGCCAGGCTTGCTCAACTCTCTGTGCATTGGTCTGCATCATTCCCCTTTGCTTTGAAAATATTGTCACTGAAGTTCAGTTGACTTCCCTAAGTCCCTATGTCCTTCAGGGATCCTCATCATGCTATGGAACCTTTCCAGGCAGATACGTGAACATGTTAAAACCTGCTCTCCTGAAGTCTTAATCTTGCTTCCTTCTCAAAGGATCCCAAACTCCACTATCTCATTTTTATTGTAGCCAGGGCTGTCCTTAATCTTCACATCCACAAACAGTTCTTCCTTCCTTGTTTGTAACAGGTTCAGCAGTCAGCTTGCTTATAACCTCTGTCAATAAATTGTTATCAATCCAATTCAGGAATCTCCTATAGTGTTCATGCCCAGTGATAACTAACTGGATCTCAAGGTGGTTAGTCCCACATGAGCATGAAGGCCCATAACAATGCGACTTCCTCCAGATGTCTAAAAGGCTTTGTCTCCTCCTTGATCAGGTGGTCTGTAGGAGATGCATTCCACAGTATCAGCTGTTCCAATGCAACTCTTAGCATTCAGATAAAGTCTTTGCTTAGCATGCTTGTTGTCTTTACCTTCCAAGACGTCATACTCTGCCAGTCGTAAAAGCTATCCCATGATGTTTCTCATATCCAAGAGACTGTAGCATTGCAGTTGTTAATTGACTTCCAGTTCCATCTGTTTGTTTGTTTCACAAGCGGTGTGCTTTTGTTTGCAGGTAAACGTGGTGGGGCTCCACACTGTGCTGCTTTTACAAGGAAGGTGTGAGAGCCCTTCCCCATCATGATGTTCACTGCTCCCTACCTCACTGCCCTCATTCTTCCACTTTTTGCGTTCTTTTGTCACCTTCAGTAAAAAAATAATAATAAAAAAATAGTAATAAATAATAATAATCCATGGTAATAAGGGATAAATGTGTGGAAATTAATAGCATTATCTTATTTCTAATTTAAAATTTTAGATTGAGTTTTCACAGTAGGAAAAAAAGAACTCCAAACCCAAGAAAGACCCTATCTTACTAATGTTAATAAGAATTTGCTTCAGTTATCCATATAATTCTAAGAGAAGGTTTAATTTACATGCTTCAAGACCTCAGATGATGAGATGCTGCTGCCAGGTGATTTTTGTTGCTTCTTAAAATAGATGAAGGACAGAATGGAGAATTCAGCTCTTGAAATACTCTTTACACATTTATACTTATAACTTTTGTTTTTTTTTTTTAAAAAAAGAGAGGAGACTTGCATGTAGCTATGAGCTTTTCAGTTATGGGAAACAATGCAAGAAGAAACTTATGTAGGCTGCGCAGATCCTATCAAGAAAACAGAAAAATTAATTACATACTACTGGATGGAGTGCAAAAATATCTTCAACTTTTTGAGCTAGTATCTAGGAGAAACAAAGAAAATATTATTTGTGACGTGTTACTGTTGGAGTTTGCCTTTAATAGTCATCTAATTCTTGAGGGGAAATTGGGAAAGAGTATGGGATTGGACCATTACCATGCTATCCCAAAATTATTTGAATACTAGGCTGAGAAAGCAAAAAGACTGTAAGAGCAGCCAAAACTGAGCTGAACTAGAACTTTGTTCCAGTTCAGTATCCTGTCTTTACTGTGGCAGTAACGCATACCTACAAGAGGCTACAAACATGGGCAAGTATGTATAATTCTTCTCCCAAATACTTTCCCAACCTACAGCCATTTGCAGTTCAGGGAATTATAAGCAATATTAACTATGTTGGCTAATTTTAGAGTGCTTATGCTTTCATAAATAATGTTTAACATCCAGTTTGGTTATAGACAGAATAGGAAATAGGAATATATTTCTAAAGGGTATAAAAATACCCTTTTGCTTGCACATGGTAAGAGATGTAAAAGTGTGGAATAGAAATATTATTGATGATTACTGCTGTTTCTACAAACTTACTAGGAATTTCTTCATGTCCTGGGTCCAGTACCTTAAGAATCATAGGAGAAGTTGTATCACAGCTGTAGTATATGCTTGATCTTGAAGGCTGTGTGGGCCAGCTCCCTGCTTCATTGTGTGCACATGAGTTCATGAACTGACTGTGCCATGACTCAGAAGTAAAAGGCAAAAACTGGGTCCAGACTTTTTAAGTGACAGCAGTACATACAGCATGATTCATTTCCTCTGTGTTGAAGGAGCTGAGGAATCTTTTGTTCTCTGTGGGATAGAGTCATGGGGGTATTTTCTTGCATCCTGAGATTTGTATTCACTATGGGGAGGAAGAGGAAGTATTTCCTAGTTGTCTATTCTGCAAGCTGTCTGGCAACTCCTTGATGTTTCTATGGCAATGCTTGCTCTTTGTGATTTTCTTCTAAAAATGTTTGTGTTCTTTTATTATTCTGTTGATAGTAAGAGTTTGCGGAAGAATACAAGCAGTTAAAATACAGTGGTTCAGCTAAAGCTGAATGGAATTTCATGGAATAAAAACAAAGCATTTGTTTGGCTCACAGTTTCTGTTTTTCCAAAGTGTCAGTCTTGCTGCAAATAGTACAGGTGTTCTAGCGTCTCAAATCAAACAAACAAATAATTAATGTTGAAAGAGACATTTATTTGGTAGTCTCTATCAGTCTAAGTATATTAGGCAGTGATTGCTTCTCTTCACCCTGGAAAAGGAAGTGATGACAGAAACCGTCAACCCATGAAAAATGTATGAGCAATATGGAGAAGGTGCACAGGGAATACCTGCTCACTGCTGCTCCGGCTCTACAAGAAGATGGCAAACAAATGGCAGGTTCAAAATGAGCAAAAAGAGTATTTCATGCACTGTCTGTAGAGGTTCTGGAACACTGCCTGAGGCTACTGTAGGTGCTAAAGAACATCAACGTTCAACTTTTCAAAACATCAACATTAGGGCAGATGAATTCTTGGAATGACTTGGTGCAGTTGTTCTTATACCATTGCAACAGTTAAATATTTTAATTATACAAATGAAAGCTGGAATATCATAAAAATAGACAAGGCAGTCAAGTAGAGTTTTTTATACTTAACATAGAGTTCCCTTTTTGTGGTTTGCTTTCCTGAGTTATTCCAAATTAAGAACTAACCTTTTCGTGTACGGTTATATTTGCCCATTTCTAAGCTCAGGTCTTTTTTAGGTCTTTCTATTTACATAGAGTCACAGAATGGTTGCGGTAGGAAGGGACCACTGGAGGTCGTCTGATCCAGCCCCCTCCCTGGCTCAAGCAAGGCCTCCTAGGGGAGGTTCCCCAGGACCATGTCCAGACAGCTTTTGAATATCGCTGAGGAGGAAGACTCCACAACCTCTATGAGAAACCTGGGCCAGTGCTTGGTCAATCTCACTGTAAAAAAGTGCTTCCTGATGTTCAGGGGGAACTTTGTGCATTCCAGTTTGTGCCCATTCCCTCTTGTCCTGGCAATGGGCACCCCACTGAGAAAAGCATGGTTCTGTCCTCTTTGCACCTTCTGTTCAGGTATTTGCAGACACTGATGTGATCTCCCATAACTTTCTCTTCTCCAGACTGAACAGTCCCAGCTTTCTCAGCCTCTCCTTGTAAGAGAGGCACTCCAGTCCCTTCATCATCTTTGTGACTTTTTGCTGGGCTTTCTCCAGTACGTCCCTGACTGTCTCGTACTGAGTAGAAACTTCTGACTCTTTCTTCCTCTTAACCTACTTCCTATCACCTCCTCTGCTAACTTTTCTGGAATAAGGAATGTAAAGTGGGGTTTTATCAATAGAGGTAGCGTGGTTTAGCCAATATATTAAATACTAATAAACGTTAGCAAGATAGTAAGTTAATGCATAGCTAGTCATGTTGAAAATTAAATTTGAAGGTCAATTTCACCTCAGCCAAGAAGATGCAGTAACAAAGGTTGCCTTCCTCAATTGCAGTTTGGGCTTATGATGGGTAACACTTGTGGGGTTTTTTGTTTGTTTAAAGAAACACAAAGAACATGAAAATCCACAACTTTATTTTTAATCTAGAGAGGTACAGCACTTGTTTAGCTTAAACAGGATAAATTTAAAGTACTTTACATTTCCAGCTGTGGTTTCTAGGCTTTTTGTAGCTAATCCTCACTTGAAAAAAAATCAGCAGTAGCTCAGGCCTTGTGGATCCATTTGAGGTCTTCCAAAGTTCATTAGCTCTAATTCCATGCTCCAGCTTTTCAGTCATATGCTTCTACCATGCCACTGAGACCTGTCCCACTAGTTGGGTACTGCCGTCTTAGAGATAATGCCTTCTGAGCACATCTGTCTAACAGCTGGGAAGGTGTCAGTATTACTGCTCAGGAACGTAGCAGATTCTTGCTTCCAGTGCTTGGATATTCCTTGCTTCATTCTCAGATCCGGGAGCTGGTTCCTGAGTCCCAGGCCTACATGGATCTGTTGGCCTTTGAACGCAAACTAGACCAGACCATTATGCGGAAGCGTGTGGATATTCAGGAAGCGCTGAAGAGGCCGATGAAGGTATGTCATGAACAATTTCTAGATTGAGTTAGGGGAAAAAATTACTCTTTGTCTTAAATGGTGGAATGATCTTTCCAGTAAATGTCCTGTTAACAGAGACATTTTTAAATGGATCACACAAAGCTCCTAAGAATAAGCATCTGGGAGCAGTGTGTATGGAAAAATGATGGAGAAAATTCTGGGGATATTACCAGCTATAGCTTCTCAAAGCCTTTAATAAATGGAATAATAGCTTCTAGATAAGTAAATACTGCTGGAGGAATTTTGTGTTTGTATTATTAGAAAGGAGAAAATAAGGGTTTAGAGGGGTGTGGGTGTGCTGAAGAGATATATTAAATTTCTTATTAGAATTCAGTTAAAATCTAAAATTGTGGAATAACAAAACAATGGGGAGAATTACAGAAAAGTTGTTAAAGTTCTTGCAAAAGTGTATACATTTACATAGTCCATAAAAAAAAAAAAAAGGATGATTCATATAAGAAAAGGATGGGTTAAATTTTCTGCAATTTCTTTTAGATCGAGTCCAGAACTTCCCTGTTCATGTGTCCTACTGAAAAGGTATTTTCCTCAGCATTCTGATGCTGTTTCACTGAATTGTTAAAAAAATAAAAAAATAAAAAAAAATAAAAAGGTTAGGAAGGAACTGTGGAAATCACATAATGATATAATGGTTTGGGTTGGAAGGGACCTTAAAGATCATCTAGTTCCAACCCCCCTGCCCTAGGCAGGGACACCTCCCACTAGACCTTGTTGCTCAAAGCCCCATCCAGCCTGGCCTTAAACACTTCTGGGGATGTAGCATCCACAGCTTCTCTGGGCAACCTGTTGCAATGTCTCACCACCCTCTGAGTGAAGAATTTTCTCCATGTATCTAATCTAAACCTACCTTCTTCTAGTCATCTAGTTCAAGCTCCTGCTCAAACCTCCTGCTCAAACAGGGTTCAGCATTTTGATTATATCTAAGGACAGAGGTCTAACAGCTTCAGGCAACCTGAATGTTTGGCCACTCTCATGGTGAAGAATTTCTTTTCATATGTTTTAATTAAGTTCTTATTGCTGTTGAATGCACATATTCATATAGTAAATCCTGTAGTATGAAGGATTTCATGGTTGAATACCTGTGAAGTAAAGCTGTCATCCTTGTCTGTGGTGGCTGTTAGCCCAATTAAGATTCCATTCTGTTCATCAATGTACAGTTATCTTATAAGATGTGGAAGGCTTTTACATCTAATGTTTTTCCAATTGAAATTTATGAATCAGAAAAAAGATATATATATAGAAAAATGAAGTTTTGTGAACATGCATGTTTTACAAATAGGAAACTGAAGTTTGGATGGTTTAAAACACAAGTTTGTAGTCCAAAATGGTTCCATATAGTAGATTGGACTCTCAGCAGGAATAGCTTGTGTTAGCTTAAAGTGCATAAAACACCACTATTTTAAAACAATAAGGAACCTGACCATGTTTAAAAGGGATAGAAAATTTAGACTTGCAGGAAGATATTTACTCAGTGGCAAACTCTTTACCCATGGAGTTGAACAGTGCATGTGGCTCCAGCTGTGAGCTAGACAGTGGAGATTTTCAGGGCCTATAATGGGAAAGAGTATAGGAGGCACAACAATACAGAAAACATATACAAAAAAATCTGTTTCTATCCAGAGCTCAGCAAATGCATTTTAAATATGAGTTATTGATCTAGGTTACATCTGAATCTGTTTCAAAAGAATAATCAAGCAGATGTTTCTTAAATTTGTGTCTAGATTTTGAGTGTAGCAGTTGAAAAATTCAAGATCTGTCAAAACAGAGCTAAGCCTAGATAAATTTGAGTTGTTCTGAAGTTGAGTGTTTTCATTTTATTATGGTTCAAACATTGGTAACAGCAATAAAACTTATATCTGCACTTCCATCCTTATCAAAGCTCTCACAGTTTTGAAATATTTTTGTTAGAACAAAAGTTCCCAAACTGGGATTGTAATCATGGAAAAAATTTAAACTTGTCTGAGATATGTGATAATATATAGGAAATATGCAGGACTGCTCAGAATTACCAGTTGTAAGTGCGATAATTATATTGGTCACAGTGATCGGGTTGTAGCTAGGAGAGGTCTTTGGAAACCAAAGATGGCCTGTGTTGCTCTGGATTTTTTTGTTTTGTTTTGTTTTTTTTCCCCTCTATGTTGGTAGATTACTTATTCTGTAGAAATTTGGGGCGGAGATGATTCAAACATTTTTGATTGAGGACAGTGCATAAAATATGCTGTACCTGTCTGTTTTTCTTTGATCTTGTGTGAACAGCTGCACTGTTGAAATAGATGACAGCTGTGGGTTTGCTCGCAAAGTAAGGAGGAGACCTTATTTTTTTTTCTGAGGTTGGTTAAGGGGAGGTGATGGCCTTAAGCCACTGCTAGCTCACTTTACCACTGCTAACAGCCCCTCTTAGCTGCCAAATTTTCCAGTCTAGTTCCTGTCTTACCTTTTTTCTACCTCTTAGGTACTCTACTCTTCCTATGTTTGTATTACATTCTTGGACTACACCTATCACAAGAGTCTCAGAATTCCTAATAATAGAATCATTAAATCATAGAATACCCCAAGTTGGAAGGGACCCACGAGGATCATCGAGTCCAACTCCCAATTCCGCATCCACAAAGCAGCATTTGCTTCATGCCACTTGTGGCAAGAGTCCCTGCACTGACATTATGAAAGAGCTACCTGTTAATGTGTTCAGAATTCCAGAAAGGATGTTGGAGGAGGGAGTTGGGCAGATGGGACTTCTTGAGTTACGGACTGCAGTGTGAATTGATGTACAGATACAGCAAGCTCCATGGCCTGAAGGAAGCAGAAGCCATATTGTTTAACTCAAAACGAGTGGATATAATTAAAGAAGAATGAGTTAGTGAAAATATGGACAGCTGGGGCCATGGTGAACATTAGGAGTGGGATGTACTGGGTCAAGTACAGCCATCTACACTGCATTTATTTGTATGCAAGTTAGTCACTTTGGGCTTCCTTTACAGTCAGATTTAGTCAGTGTAGGCACAGTTCCTCTCATATAGAAGTATATATCGATATAGAAGTATATAATTATAAATATTGAAGTAGATATTTAAAATAAGATAGAAAAATTGTGCCCTAAAAAGTGCCTGTTTCTCTCCATTGTCTAAGCCTGGGATAAGTAGTCAGTTGCAAAAGCAAGGCTTCCACTCCAAAACAGGCCACAGACAATAGTTTGATTTCTGACCCAAACCAGAGACTATCACTCTTTCATGGTGAACTGATGGGGGAGTTTGAGTTTACTATACCTGTGTGCAGTTGCAGTACCTCAAACTAAGTGATGTGCTCCGAGATTCTTCATTCTCAAGTTCAAAAAGAACCTAAAAAGAAGTGTCTGAATATAGACAGTGTCTAAATGCATCTCCCTGGTTTTGTAGATTGAAATTCTTTCCTCGTTTTCAGATTTTAAGATGACTAAGGAATTGCTGTCGGATTGCTGGTAGAAGGGAACGTGCATTTTTTTCTGAAATTCTAAGGTTTCTGCACATCCCTCTGTCCTCTCAGGAGAGTTTTTGTTTGTTTGCTTGTTTGTTTTTGTTTTCCTCAGAATGCGTTGTGTACACAGCATCTCATATCTGAGCTTTGTAGTTCAGTCATTCCAAGAAAGTCCCGTGTTTTCCTTCTGTTTCATTCTAAATGTAGATCATCCAATCCTATTTTGATTATAAAAGTCTTGTACATAATATGATGTGACTAACTGGGAAAAAAAAAATCTTAAGTTACTAGTTAGAATTTCCAGTATCAACAGAAAAGTTCTGATGTCACTGCAGAAGATCCTAATGACATCCCACCTGATTGTTGAAGCTGGAATACATCATCATCAATGTTCAAAATTACATCAACGTTCAAAAAGAACAGTTCACACTAGAGTGATAGGGGGTGGGAGGAGGAAAGCTTCTGGATCACTTAGGGAAAGGAAGACACTTCCTGAATGTCACCTGGGTGTCACAAAGAAGGTTGTGAGGGACAGGGAATGACTGGGAAAGATTCTGGTAGAGGGGGAGAAAAGTATTGCCATTTAGGCTAAAGGACAATGCTGACACAAGAACAAATGGGGAAAAGGTGACTGTGAATAAATGTTAGGCTTGAACTTAGAAAGAGCTTGTACTTTTCAGAGGAGCAAAATTCCTCTAAGTCAGGGAGGAGTAACAAAGACCTTGTTTTTTAAATTGTATCTTCATGATTTTCTGAAAGGCATTGCATGATTATGACACGTCACCTGCACTTCACTGTTGCCCTCAGCTCAGTGACCCTAGGGCTGTTGGTGTACTCCATCAAGTACTACAATGGTTTTGATAAGGTATGTTAGAACACTTTAAGAGAAATATCTGTACAAGACATTTAAAGTAGAAATACATTGTAGGCGAAACAGAATATATGGCAGTTTCATCTTTACTCATCAGCCATAAAATTTTCAAATTAAAAAAAAAGCCAAAGAGCTTACAGTTTTCCTAGTGTGAGAAGGTAAGTCTGGCAACAGATCCTCTTGATTATCCTCTTGATTAGTAGGTGGTCATACATTGGAAGAGTTGGCTTATGGCTTGTGGTTGTCTTCCCATTCCTAGCCTTAACTTGTATATTGGTCTTCGATCACCCAATCTTTGAGGGTCACCTTGGAGTCAGAGGGTTTTGGGTGAATCCACCTCCTTTTGGGTACTCCTAACTAAATTCGGCCCTAAGAGTTCACAGTTGTCTTCCCTAGTCCTATCTGGTGAACATGTTGTTACTTGAGAGGACTGTGTTGCCAATGCCACACCAATATGTGTTACTGAATTACTGATTGAATTATTGGATGGGTAGTTATACGCTGTCAGAAACTGTGCCCACAGCCTTACCATACTATACTGCTTTCAACTTGTTAGGACTCAATCAAGCCACTAGGGTAAAAAGCTTATCATTCTCAAAAAAAGGCAAAGTGTGCGTGCATTCTAAATCCATCACACGCTAACTTAAGTATTTGATGAGAACATGCTTAAATCTTTCTTACTCGCCCCTCTTCTCTCGGCTACAGTGACAACAGGAATTACAAGGCTGGTGTGGATCCAAGCTCCTTACTAGTAGTGACCAGTTATAGAATCACATAATCACAGAGTGGTTGAGGTTGGAAGGGCCCTCTGGAGGTCATCTTGTCCAGCTCCCTCCCCTGCTCAAATGGGACAACCTAGAGCAGGTTGCCCAGAACCATGTCCAAACGGCTTTTGAATATCTCCAAGAAGGAGGCTCCACAGCCACTCTGGCCAACCTGTGCCAGTGGTAAATACTTCAAAGGAAGGTGCCAGAAACCCTGCAACGATAGGTAGCAGCTCTACCTAAATTCCAGTAATCAGAGATCAGTTTATATTAAGACACAAAAAGGTTTGATGTCTCTTTTAAAATTTTTGGTATACATTGGTATGACTGGATATTCCTGGGATCTGTCCATACATAGCCACTCCAGCACCTTCTCTCTCTCTCGCATTCTCATTTTCTCTTTTTTTCCCCTTTTCTCTTTATTCTTTTTCTTT